CTCAACCGCAGCTATTCTCAATGGGCAGATAGAGAAAATATACAGATATTGAGTAAGGACTTACTTCATCACAGTAAGTGTGTGAGTGAGTGGATGCTGTGTCAAACTGATGTGACTTATTCCTTTGTTTTTAAATTGCAGCTTCATGACACATTTATTATGGGGCTGTGCAGATTTCATACTGATCTCTGAATTTGTCATTTATTAAAGGTTTAGATATTGTAAACTAGCATGGTTTTTAAGGAAAACTTACTGTCACGTATCAATGAAATACAGTGTTAGGGCACCATAGGGAATTAAGGCAAGAAACATGGTAAAATTTATCACTGTGAGCTTTTGTTAAGCAGATTCCAACATATTAATAGCACAAAATCAGAAAAAAAACTGTTTTCTTTAGATACAATTTCATTTACAAATTGCACCTGTGTGATGCTTATGAATTCAAATCCAGATCTAAAGTTAGCGGTGTCACCATTAACACGCTTCAAGTCCTTCTCATGTACTCTTAGTATAAGCTTCTGGACACCCAAAGAAGGCTCCACAGCCAAAACGTTGCGTTTCCTTTCTTCTCCTTTCAGCATGGAATAAACCTTTACTTGTTCTTTTGCAGCCTACACATGCTGATGCAGCCACCTACTTGAACTACTTCTGAACACTATTTCCATCTAGAGGATGTTTCCAGAATTACTATAGAGAGACCATGGCTAGAAATATGATCACAGGAATATATTAAGCATTAGATGAGCCGTGGTCTTTATTAGCTGCTCCTCAAATGCCAAATATAACATTTTTTTAAACTAAAGTGATCTCAACACTGGAATATTACAGATCTACACGCAAGAACTGAAAGAACTGAAAAAGAATTGGCCTGGTTTTGATTTAAATAGAATATTTTCAGTTCTATGTTGTTTTAAACTTTGTGGTTTATGTTTTAAACAAGTTGCCCTAGAACTGTGATTTATGCATGTCATGTTCAATCAGCTAGAGCTGCAAAAACTCAGTTCATAGCCATACTATAACAACCCTGCACAATTTGGTCACCACAGATGGAAAGACTAAAGACAGATTTCAAAGGATAAAAGTTGCAGTGAAAACAGGGTGGTATCTGTAAAATGGTAAACATCCTGCACCTGCTTTGAGAAAAACTAGAAAAGCATTGACTGTGCAGCACTGTAATTCATATATGAAGTTAATGTAGAGGTGGAAATAATGGGAGAACTAACAATATTTTCTTTTAAAAATTACCAAGTCAAACAATTGGAAATGGCAGTGTGGTGTTCGACAAAGTTAAAACCTGGTGATTCAGCATGGCTACCTACTGTAAGTGACTCAACCTGTACTGGTACAGTACATATTTACGGGTGGTGGACCCCAATATCCAGACATCCCTGGTTTCAATCTGGGCCTAGTAAGAAGCCAGCTGTGGCCAAGGTAGGTTTCCCATGCAGTATTGTTGTTGCTGCTGCTGTTGCTGCTGGCCTCCAATGAGGCTGTCCTAGACATCCCACAGGGAGCTCCATGGTTACCTGGGGAACGTGGTAGTTTTCACTGCTGAAACCGAGAGCAGCACCACTCTCACAAATATCACTTCCTTTCCTGTAGCTGTTGTGGGGCTCACAATGTAGAAAACAGTGGGCAACACTGCTAGGGCTCTAGGGTAAAACATGCATGACCATCCTTTCCATATCATCACAAGGCTTTCAGAGTTGAATCAATTAATCCAAATCAGAAAAAAAAACTGAACGAAAATTTACGGGAATTTACTGATTTTTAAAAAATGTTCAGCTTCAACTTGGTGTCAAAGGGAAACAAGGGCATACAGTATCTCATATCTGTTCCCAGGCTAAAGGAATGTGTGATAAAGTCCTCTTTCAATCCAGAAACATTTAGACAGCCAGTTCTGAGTCAAAACAGGAACACCCAAGTGGCTTGAGAGAATTGATATAATTTAAACCACATTATCAGGCTTGAAGATTGCTGGAAATTTGTTGTGCTGCATCCAGTCCACCAGAAAATGATAAGATACATTATGAGGCCAAGACATAAATTACTGAGCCAGGTTAATAATATTTTTCCATCATGCATCACGAAACTGATATTAAAAGCAAAGTCCCACAATAATACAAAACAGTCTATAGTTTAAGATGATTTTTTACGAATAAATACCCATAACCTCAGAAAAGCAGGGCAGGACCAAGCATCACTCACAGTCAAACATTCTGATGGACAAGCAACCAAATGCTGACATTCGTAGTTGGTGCCTCTGTTCTGCGGGATTATGATACAGTGTCTTGCAAAAGCATCCCTTCCCTTCCTGTGATGGTGTATTTTGCTAATGTTTGTCCCAGTTTTAGGTCTGAAGAAGGATTTCCTTTCAGATTTGTAGTTTGTTCCATCTACAGTATGTTCCCATTAGTCTTGGCGATCTTTCCAGTCCCTGCTGATGCTCAACTATTACAATAGCATAATGCTGGCACCACAGTTTCTGACAGCAGGGATGGCATTAACTAAGTGATACACTCTGTTGGGTTTGCATCAGATGAGATGTTTTGCATTAGGACCAAAAAGTCCCAATTGTGTCTTGTCCGACCCCAGATTCTTTTGCCACGTTGGCAAGTATTAGGTGCTTTGTTGCAAACACCATGCAGAACTTGAGATGTTTTTTTTTATTCCATAACACGCATGAGATGGTGTTAACTCATGGAGATTTTCTCCCATCTCAGCCACTGAACTCCTGTTGGCTTCACAGTGACATCCTAACCAGTTTCCTCCTTAACCGGCTGCTCAATTCGGAGGCACAGCCTGATCTAAGCTGTGTCTGTGTGCCTTCTTTTTCTTAATGATTGATTTAACACTGCCCAAAGAGAATTAGAGTCACTGGAGTGTGTATATAACCTTTTCCTAGTCTGTGCCTTTCTACAACTTTATCCCGGAATTGTTTTGAAAGCTCCTTGGTCTTCATCATTGAACCTTATCATTGAGATTCACTACTTAACTGAGGGACCTTACAGAGACAGCTGTGTTTAATCTGAAATCATGTAAACATCAATCACTGTACACAGACAGAGGCCACTCAACTAATAGTGTGGCTCATCAGCGTACTTTTGTGCACCTAAATGTATTTAGAATTAGCAGCAAAGGGTTTAAATTTGAAGCAATCATGAATTTTTCTTTTATATTAATTACCTGTTTACTTATGAAGTCTGTAGAGGTATTTAACTCACATGGCTAATCTGTATATTAATTTAAAGTTTTCTTTTTCACTTTTTAATCTGAATTGTGTATTATGAAGGACATTTTAAGTTAGCCACATCAAAGAAAATACCCCTAAGCCAGGTCTTAATACACTAAAAAACACAAACATTCACAAAGCATCTGATTCCCTAGTGAAATACAGATATAGAGCCAGTCAAATCCTCCATCTTCTCTTCCAGCCTTGAAGAGATGTCAGCAATGTCCAACACTGGAAAAGGTCATCCAATGGTGAATCCCACTCAATTCAGATTTCACTTTTTTTGCCAGTTTGTTCAGCTGTAAGTGTTTAGCTAAGGGTGGGTAAACAGACACTTACATTCATCAAAAACATTGTTTTGGGTCCCAGTATTTCCCTAAGCATTCCTGCAGATTCATCTCCTCTTTTTTTAACCACAAATAAGATCAGATTGACTTTCCTGGATTTTATATTTTCACACTGAGAAAATCTTTTCTCGGCCTCATGCTGCTTTTCTTGTCAATTTCCCACTCTAATGACTGAAATTATGTTTCCGAAGGATCATTAGTTTGCTGTGAGTTTCACCCCTCACCTGTACCCTCTGTTTTTTAATACCCAATTCTCAGGTATGCCTACCACCCATAATGTGACAATTGATTTCTTATGGGGCTCATTAGCACAAAATTCTAAAAATATAAATGTACAATATCTTATAACCTACAGTATTTGTATTCATGTTACTGATGATGTTTGCTCAAAGAACTCTACAAGTAGATGAGACAAGACCAACCGTTGCTAAAGTCATCCTATTTCCTAGAATTTCCATATTTCCATATAGGCGATCCTCTATAAACTCTTCTGTAAACCATCTCGATTCATTCTGATTCACTGATATTTTAAAGCTGCATTCAGTATTTTATGTTCATCGTTTTTCATCTTGTTTTTTGAATCATTATTTTTTTCTTTAGCTTTATGTGAAATGCCTGAAACCATGTGGTATGAACAAAAGCACCACTTAAAATGTTTTATACAAAACCATCTTTTTTTCTGATTTTAAAATCTGCTTAATAAGTTGATGAAGTATTAACGTGTTCAGAAATGGTAGTACTGCAAGACCACAAACTGTTTTTGGGAGAAAAAGCCAAATACCTCACTCAATAGGAGGCATTACTGTTATTGCATGTTGCCATGTGGAAATTTTGAAAATTCAACGTTTGCAATGCTTTTTTGGCATTAAACCAATAGCATCAATTCCTGTAAATTAAAGAACAGAGGCATTTCAGTGTACATTGTGGGATCCAGGAAATCAGTGCTCCAAATTCATACTCCCTGCTTCAAGCATTCTCAACAAGTATTCTTATTTGCATACTTTGAAAGTGCCATGTTTTAAAATACTTTTTTTAACACAAAAATCTGAATGATCTTTCATTTACTGATCTACTATAAGTTTACATTTGTTCCATTATGTACTGAGAGAAATTACAAACGCATTAAATGGGTAATAGAACCAGGTTTCCAAAATTTTCATTATACTGTATACGATTAAATGTTTACTGAGAAAACAAAGATTCTGGCTATATTCATTAATTACAATAGCCTTCTAGTGGCTAAAGCTTATTTTTCCTTTCTGAACAAAATGGTTAAAGCTGCTTATGCTACACATTTACAAATTACAAAACTATAATAGGAGGAATAGAGGAATAGAGGAATAAAAAAACAAAATGCAGTGCTAAACATAGTGTCAGTGTACTGTATGGTTATGTATGAGAAAAATAATTACAAGGTCCAGTGCAAATAATGCAAACATACAGTGCACTTAATTTTATTTTCACTGGAGTGAGGCAGACTACAGAAAAGTTAAAAAAACTTTAATTTTTAACACTTTAAAGCAAGTTGTAGCATCTGCATCTACTGTAGTTCCGTAACATCAGATCTGCATTTTATGTCTCTGAAGCATTAGATTTAAACATTATGTGTCATATTACAATGCTTCACTTTTAATCAATGTTACAAAACTAGGTAACTTTACTTCCCAGGTGTTTACTACAATTCTTCATCACTGCATCACCTACAGCAGTTTCTCTTAAGTGACACTAATGTGGCCATATAAGAGAAGTGCAACACAATATTAATTTCTACTTTTGAGACAGGTTTGTCTCAGTCACTGTTTCTAAGTGCCCAACAATGTCTACCACCACAGGTCTCTAAGCAAACAGAAAATGACCTGCAACCACATGACTTAATGCCCTTTAATGAACACTTTTATTTGCTTTTTATTTCCTGAATGTTTTTTTTTTAAATGACCTACTGTACAACTCTATGTATATAAAGCACCACATACCTTCCAAAGAAGTTGTGGTCTTATGTTTCCAATATATTTTTTAATCCTGTCTAGTTTCTTCTATTTAATATGTAAACAAAATAGCTTTGTAACTAGTGGTCTGCAAAAACTCCACAGGACATAATTCTAGCTTAGTTCATGTTTTTTCTCAAAGAGTAAAACAAATCACAAACTTAATAAATTCTTATGCTTTGTCAGTTCCCAAAATATTCCCCTGATGCATTCATTGATTAATAATAAATAACATTTTTTTTTCTGAGCAGCATATTTAAAGGTTTCTAACACTACTGTAGCAGCACACATATTATGAAAGTCTGCCTGCAGTTAAATTGAAAGGTTTTGCCTTTCATTTTTCCCGAAATACAATTAGTATGGAGTCTGTTGCTTTCTCTCAACAGCCCTAACCTCAGATGAAAATCTTTAAGCGGGTTAAGCGGTTTCCAAAGTCAGTTCACGTGTCAGCGGTGGATGACTGCAGGTCCTGTTTGCTCAGATTGTTATTTTTCTTTCTGCAGTGCGTGTCGGTGATGACGTGGATAGCCCAGAAGTCCACCGGGCTCAGCAGTCCTGGCTCATCCTCTCGGCGCGGGCAGTCTGGCAGGTGCTGGGTGGAGTGAACACAGCTGGGTCACTGATCCCAAGCTGCAGATCAAAGAAGCGGGTGGAGGTTGTCACGCTGTAGTTTCTCGTGTACGTTTCCTGCACCGGGTAACAGTCCTGGACTGTGTAAACTCCAACCCAAGCTTCATCTGTAACGGACCAAAGCATTTCTGTTAGAGCTGTGACACGTCAGAGAGCTAAAAATACTGTTTTTTAAAAATGGGCTGAATTGCCTTTTAGAACATATTCAGCCCAACGTCATGCCTGTGTTTTCTCTTGTTGACTGAACACACATACTGTATCTGGAAAGAGACATATTCTGGGAAGCTCACCATCAATACCCAATACCCATCCCTTCTTTCTGTAACAGTGGAGTTTCAATGGCAGCTTAATAAACAAGCACCCCTCCAGGTGCAGCGATCATCAGAACACGTTATTGCATTACAAGCTCTTTACAGTATGTAGTTACAGACCCTGTGTTTGTAAATTTTCCCTACAGCACGGTAGGAAAGAATGTCACTTCTAAGGAAAAAAGTAATGTTTGTAATATTTATTTGGAAAACAATACAATATTTCTTTCACTCATCCACTTTGTAACTGCTTCATCCAATACCTTGTCGTGGAGCCAGGATTGCTGAGCCTATCCCCGCAAGCAGTGGGGGAACACGAGGAACATACTGTAACATACTGTACAATCCACACAGAGAGCACTGGGACCTGAACCTGGGGCCACAGCTCTGTAAGGCAGCAATGTTAACCACTGCGCCTCAATATTTCCAATTGTACAGAATATTAATATTGTTAATAGTCTGTTGTTGTTTGGATCTTTTTGCAAAATACCAGCATTTATACTGTACCTAGCTCCATTTAAAAACATTTTTCTTGGTATTAGAACATTCTAGTTATGTTCTAATTCAAAAGTTATGTATGAACATTTAAATGTACACTGGATTATTCATCTCTTGATCCTAGTTAATGTCACTCTAATTCCTAATCAATGTGTTCAAAGGGTGCTGGTGAATTGAAGCAAAGTAAAGCATTCCTGTTTAAGGTGAATCAATACCTGCTATAATGGCCAACAGAGAATAGTAAAGGGTTGCAACTACTCTCCTGTTACATGTTTTGTTCCTTGGCACAAAAACTGATTTTTAAAAAAACAAACAGCTGTTTTTAGTCTTCTCCTCAATGAAGAGAACAAACATCCAGTCCCCTGTGTATACTTTACAGAAATCTGTTCAAATTGTTTTGATTTTATCTCATGGATAATAAAGCCAACCTCTGCCTACTAAATTTGACTTGGATTCCTGCATACTCGCTCCGATGAACAGGTTTTGGGATAGGCACACTTGCTATCCCTTCTCCTCTGGTACCCCAGGGTGTCCATTTTGACCAGCTTTTGAGCCATTTTTTTTCCAATTCGATCCACAGAAGTAGGCGTTGAGACTCCCTAAGGATGCCCTTCCCAATCTGCAAGTACATGAGCAGGCCTTGTTTGTGTTAGCAACGGGTGCATCACACTGTGGTAACCAAGGGCAGCTTCCTCCCCCAGGACCTGGCTCTGTTGTCACAGGAGATTATTTCTGGCCTCCTTCCATCATTTAATCTTTTGTAAATCGATTAACTTCCATAAGCGAAAGCGTGGCATAGATACATATGTAAACACCTTGGCAAATACGTTTACCTCCTGGCTTTTACGTTTACCTCCTGGCTTTTTTCTTTCACAAAAGAATCTGAAAACTTGGATGATTGTTAACACTAATCGTCTGGTACAGTATGTGTGTGAGAAGCTTTGCAGTTAAAGCTCGTTTTTCTGTTTTACAGAAAGAAAGGAAAGTGAAATACAGTAAATACACACCATCTTAAAAGTCTTTGGGATGGAATTACCCATTTTGTGGGAAACAAAACAAAAATAAAACAAATAGAATAACACTTATGCAATGCTTTGTGAAATGTTAGCGATCAGGGCAGAATATGATCCTGATGCTACCTGGCAAAAGGGACAGCTGCTTAATTTGTTGACAGCAGGGCCTCTACTATTATAAAACAAACAGGATCACTGTTTAAAATCATATCTAAAACAACTGGACCCTCTACATTACATTGACACTTGCTTAGGTGCCAACACTTCAAACGGTCAGTCTCTGATGATTTTAGGTCTAAGTAAAAACAGAATAGAGCGCATGTGTCAACAGACACAGACTTCAGTGCAGAACCAGAACTTTATTGTATTTCATAAAGGCACTGCTTTTGACATAAGGGACAGAAATATAGAGTTGGACATTAATTAAAACATTAAAGGCAAATGCATTTGACTAACGCAATGCAGCTCCTGATCATGAGATTTTAGAAAATGAAATTTACAAAAACAATTACTCTTCCCTGTAAGAAATAATCTTCACCTAGAGATAACGAGCAATTATGCCAAAAGAAAGACTACATGTAAAAACAGCGGAACATTATTTGTAGAATTTTTGTGAGTGAAATTGTGGGTTGTTGAGTAAAAGTCAACAGGTAATACTTACTTTTGCGGGCAGGTTTTCTGTCAGACCATTCCTGCACCTCTATCTTGTCACCAGGCCCCCCAATGAAATACTGGTCTTCATAAGTGGAGTTGTCGGGAATATCGTAGGCGTCCCACGGCTCTGTCAGAGTAATCTTGGAACACAGCTTGGTGACCTGCTCAATCTGGAACAGCACTGAGCTCTGGTACAGGTAGATGTATTCAAAGAACCTGAAAAAAACACGAGAGTGACACACATGGGACATCAAAAAGCCAGACGTTTTTACGTCTTATAAGTTCCAAAGGCATACATTTAATATAAAATAACGACTTCCATCTTGACGCTAAGAAATGGTAGTGTCCCCTAAGTACATGTTCAAAATAGGACACACATATATGATCAAAAGTATTCAAAACCAGGATCTTGCAACTGACTGCACCACTAAAGGGTCCTATAGTCCAGAGATTGTTGTGCTATACTGTAAATATGGCTCTGTGTTGGCAGAAAGCTGTGACTGGGTTTGCCCTAGTGGCAGTGAGTAAATGGTCAATCACTACTGGCATTGGGTAGATTTGTAGTATCCTTGATTTGTCACGCTTAGGGCTGTATGGTCACAGGTGAAAAAGAAGATGGCCTGTGAGTGTATGGAGAATTGGTATGAGATATCATGCTGTCTTCTGAAACCTTTGTGATTTTGACTAGTCAGGTGCAGTTTTATGCTGGTATTGTCACGCCCGACATCCCTCCCTAGAGGGCGCTCCACTATTCCCGTTATTGTTTCTGTGATTAAGCTCCCCAGGTCTACCTTTTTATGTTTATTATTTAAAGACTAACTCCTCCAGTCCTCGGGTTCATCATTAGGGTAAGGATGTCGCGAGGCCCGCCTAGCACCAGGAAACCCTACGTCTGTCTTCTGAGGGCATAGGCCTCATCCCCGACACCTCCAGCTTCCCGAGCCTTGGGTCTGGAGGATCTCGCCCCGTCACCCTTGTACCTCCATGTTTTGTCTGTCTGTGTGTTCCCCCCTCCTGGGGATTTTAACCTTGTCGCATCCCAGGATGGACTCTCGGACTGTGCCCTGACCTGCCTTTGGACCCGTTTGGATTTGGATGCTGTTCTTTGTCTCCCCCGTTCACTGTCTCACGGACTGCCACTATTATTTTATGCACTATTAAACCCCTGTGTGTTCCCTTTTACCACGCCTCCTGTTTTTTCCAGCTCTTACTGCATCGCATAGGGTCTACTACAAGATCTGACACGGATCTCAGTCCGTGTTCGTGACAGGTATTTTGCTACTGGAATGAATACATATAATTTAAAAAGTGTTCAAACTTACTTTGGTTTTATACACTGAATTCTTCAATAATACTGACATAATTCTTAAATAAATACTAACAGGTTTAAGTCCCCTCAATGTAGCTGAAGCTCAGAGCAAACATGCAAAGTTGAGCTGAGATCTTGCTTTTTAATAATTTGAAATCAAAATGAAAAAAAAAATCAGATATAAAACATTACAGGTCTTTAATTTTACTTAGTTAAGGTGGGTAGCTGCGTCAGAATGCGTAGGCTGCAAAGGAACAAGTACTGTAATAGGTTTATTCCATGCTGAAAAGAGAAGAAAGAAAACACATTTCAGCCGTGGAGCCTTCTTCAAGTGTGAGCCTCACACCTGAAGAAGGCTCCATGGCTGAAACTGTGTTTTCTTTCTTCTCTTTTCAGCATGGAATAAACCTATTACTTGTTCCTTTTTATTTTACTTAGCTGCAAAATCATCTTAGATGGATCTTAGTTTTATATTGAGTCTGCCATACTGCTCAGATTGCAGAGATCATGGTGGTAAAAATAAAAGCTTTGGATTTCAAATTCATATTTAACAATGCATCCCGTTCATGAAATATTTAGTTACATAGTTTAAATTCTACTAACATCTGAAAACAATGTGCATACCACTGAATGGCAAAGACTTAAAAAATAAATTTCCTAAACAATTACAGGAAAATAAAACATTTTGACTCCCCTGGAAAAACATAAAAGTTTATTTTCTCTCCAAACTTTATTAAAATATTTATTAAACAAAAACACATGTCTAAGCTTTATGTAAAACAATTTGTTTTACAAAGAAATCAAATCACATCATTTTTAAGTGAGATGCTGTGAGAAGAAATGCCACTTTGGAGATAATGCTGGCTGTACTTTTCACACAAACTTCAATGGGAGGTCTGGCACGAAACACTTGCCTGAGATATCAGAGCCCAGAAATCATTTAAAGCAGATGGATCGATTACTGCCTCGTCAGAACTCAAACATTTTCAAAATGTTCTCATATCATACTGTGGCTCATCATGTTAAATATATATGCCACAGTAATACTGGAAACACATGGTTTTTGGTTACAAAAAAAAAAGATTTTTAATAACTCTTTAATAAACACAGATTTTAAGAGTTCGTATCAGAATTATAGCAACTTTAAGGCCCAAGTATTATCTGCCATTTGAAACAATTCAGATGTTTTCAGTACAAACAGCATTTATTCCTTAAGCAGGAACGCCACAATTTTTAAGTTTTAGCAGTTAAACTTGAACATTTTTAGTATTAAGGAGGGTAAAGGAAATGTAAGGCAAGACCACACTATGAATATACTGGGAGAGGGAAAGGACAGGAAAATAAACAGGTAGAATGCACAAACTGGAGTTCTCCTATAAAACTAATTATAAACTGAAAAGATTTTATTCAGAACAATTTAGTAATTTTCAAAATCAGGTGAATCCCCTGATTAAATGCAAAGATACTGAAAATAATTAGGAAAGTTCAACTTGCGTTGGTGAGGAAACCACAAGACTGCTTTATGACTTCAGGGAGCAAGCTAAAGGCATTGATGCGAGACGCAGAGGGAAACCCCAAAGAAAACACATATCTTTAAATCTTTAAAAAAAACTACATTGAATTTCCTGTCAAACAGGGAATCCCCATAAGATCTGAAGAACGTCGCTGTCAGACAGATTTGTCAGGACTACAGTTACATTATTTGTCAAGGACGGACCTCTGTAAGAATAATTACCAAGAAGGACAAGACCTGTAAATAATATCAGGTATAAAAATACAGCTCTGTCACTGTTTGAGAGTTTTCCATTGCACAGGAGAAGGTCAGTACATGTTTAGATGGCCCCATGCTGATAAGGCTTGACAGGAATAAGTTTGTGGTTTCTCCTCTGACAAAGAGTGCATGCCAAGGACTCTCGGGCCAACAGGTAGAAAAATACAAATAGCTTATTTATAGACCGAGCTGCATCGAAGATGTCCTGTCAGTCAAAATATTGCATTGTAAGCATCACACGTGAAACACTGACATGCTGCTGTAGCATAATATACCGAGCTGAATATTTCAAACTAGAACATGTATTGCCCAACATATGTCAAGCAATTTATTAGGGAAATCGGCAGCAGTTGCAGTTTTTATAGGGTACTTATCGATGCTTGCTACTACATGACCTCCAAGTTTGGTTTCAAAAGCAAACATGTTAATATAATTCCCCAGTATTGAATAAGTATTATTAATATTAATGTAATATTCTTGATAATATGTGATACAGTATTAATATTAATGCAGCAAATTCTGCACCAAGAACAGACTGTTTGGGAACTGTAAGGCTACATAAGAGGAAAAAACACAAATGATAAGCAAAAAGCTGAGACCTTTTTTGTAAATATGCAAATAAATATGCTTTATTTATGGATATAAAAGGCACAATTGTTGCTAGGGAGAAGTATCCCAATGGAGATTCCAAGGTTTGAATCAACTTGACCTGCCACTGTGCACTGTGTGCCCTGGGCACTGGGGGTTTCAGTCCTGGCTGTGTTTAGATATGACTCCAGAATTAGGGCCAATAGAGTTCATCCACACTGGATGTCATTCGACTGTCATTTAAGAAGGCACACTGGCTGGGTGTGATTCACTTGTGGGCTAGCATTGTCCAGTGATGCCACACACACACAAAAATCAGTCTGAGCAACATTTGTTTAAGCAAAGAGCTGGTTTTATACAGATCAAGTTTAAAACTAGTCATGGATTTTTTCAATTTTACTTAAGCAAACTTGTCTAGGATTAGGAATAAGACAGCACAAATTATTAGAAACAAAATGGAGCATCTTATCTCAATTGGCTGGAAAGAAAATTAAAAGGTTTTAAAACAGTTTTTAACAAAAAGTTACCCCCCTCTACCCTAGTACTGACTTTGAGTTGAGACTTAAAAATATACTCAGTATGGCCTTCAAGTCCTTAGCCAGTCTTTTTGAAGCAGACCTATTAATACTGCACTCAAGATCATCTCAGGACAGATCTCCTCCTGCTGAAAGCCAGCAGGGAAGTGATTAAGGGAAATAATCCTGTGGATATTTCCATGCTCGCACACCTGTTGAGCGCCAGTTCTCAGACTTGTTCACGTGATCTTGACAGACGGATACAAACGTTCACACTCAAACTGTTTGGCCATGGTGCAGCTGATATGTCAACACGAGGTGATTTAAGATGCTTTTGGAAATGGCTCCAAGGAATAATAATTTGACAGCAGGTTTTATTTTTTACACCAACACACAGGATTAAAATGCCTTTCTTATACGTCCAAACCTGGATTCCCCTTGTGACCAAACCAGAAGAATGAAGAGAAGACAACTCAACTCCATCTCGAAATAAAACACAAGCAAGCTCGAGGTGTAGGTTCAAACAAAGTTATGCAATATCAGAAAACAGTACTAATGCAAATCATTTCCATGAAGGTAAAGGAAACAGGAAATAATACTTGGTAACAATAGGTCCATTGATATGAAGAGACTAAATAGAAATATATATAAACTGAACATTTCTGTATGGCTATGTAGGATTTACTGTTCAAGGGTTGGAGGATCAGGTGCAATCTCTTTATGAACGGTGAAACATCAAAGACAATGAGTTATCTTCAACTCTTACACCTAATCAAAGGAAAGAACAGTGCTGCAAAGCTATTCTAAACTTGAAAGCGCATTTGGAAGGAGGGCTGGTGAAATAACAGACAGATAAGATTAGTGGGTGGAATCCGAGAGGACTGTCTCACAAACAGCAGACAGTTGGCAAATATATCAAAGAATGCTGGATCAAGGAGGGTTCATTATGTCTTAAGCCCACAAGGAAACTGCACTGAAAGACATACCAAACAATGAAGATTTTTTTTCATGTAAGTGAAAGCCATACTGTAAA